AACATTCAGATCTACATCCATGGTTTATGTCCAGTATTCATAAATGTTTAAAATGTAGTCATGAAACGTAAAAATAGTGAGTATTCACCTAATGAATGCCGACATATGCCGTAATAGCTTACTTCTAAGGTTTAAGCGAAATTATGTCTGAGTAGAATCATCAAGCATTAGTAATAAACGGGCCCATAGGAAAAGGTTTAAGCTGTTAGAATAAGGTGATAGAATTTTCCTGTTTGTAACAAAACTATCTCGTAATAGGCATTGAGGTCATTCTCTTTTCGTAGACTATTTAAATTAAAGAAACCAAGAACCGGTAGAAAAAAAGTTCAAAAGCTCAGGACATACCACATTCTACACGATCATAGATTAATCTAAGGAGTAAACAACTCCTGGGACATACTACTAAAAGAAACTATCAGACCATTTGACTGATTAACTCAAAAACAAACTAGGTAAACAAAACCGCATGCCAAAATATTTAACATACGCCTTTGATTCCTTCCCCTCAGACTGAAAGATCCCATGTTAAATCTATTAGCATATACTCTCATAAAAAAGCTAGGTATTACTCATAATTTCACTGGTGACGGACTAAAATACTCTCAGTTAATTCAACCTATTACTGTTCATTTACTCTCAAATTCTTATAATTCTGACTTTAAACAACTAATCTACCTGGTTTTTGGGAATTCTCAAGGCTAAACAAAATACATGGAGTGTCACATACAGTATATAGTTTTATAAGATGACAGAAACGCGTGACACAAATTACATTCGATTTATAATTTATGAAGAGCATCAACAATGGATAGTGGCGATCAATAAATATGTCATAACTCTACGTTTAATAAAAATATGAGTTGAGAGAGTGGTTCAGATGGTAATGGATGAAATAGAACAAGCCCTTCCTTAACGGATTTCCATATCTAGTAACAGTGAATCTTTGATGCTTCCATATAGGAACATAGGTACAATTAATGATAAAAACAATAATATAAGTAAATCGTACTGAGATACTGTATTAAGTCCTTAAGAATATGTAAAGCCTGTTCTTAAAAGACTCCTGGAAAGTTGCTTGGACTACTTTAAACGACAGTGAATTCCAGGATTTTACCACCCCTAGAGGGTAGATGTGCCGACAGTCCGTTTCGTTATGTTGTGATTATAACTTTTAGGTACTGCTTTTAAAGCTTGTGTCAAGACTGAGCCAAAGAAAATATTTGAGAGGGTACTCCGTATGTTAAAACGCACCAAAAGGTCACCTCTGAGGCGTCTATACTCTTATGAGTAAAGATTCAATGACTTGAGAAGCTCTCCATAAGGTTTGAATTCGGGCACCGGAACTGAGAATAGGCGAGATACTCTCGCCTTTGGATACGTTCCAGTGTATTGCTGTCCTTTTGGAATGTGTAAAAAAACACTATTATTCCACACTCTAGATGGGGCCGAATAAAGTTGTTGAGGATCGAGTGGAGAGTTCTATCGTCAAACTGGTTCCCAGTGCGCTTCAACGTTACCAGAGCTCTGTTTGCTTGAGAGATATTTTTGTTGCAGTTGGCATAAGACTTCAGATCATAAGGTACAAAACTACCAAATTGCCTCCAACTCGAGATACCTCTAGGGTGGAGTCAACTAAGTTGTATGAGCAATCTGCAACATATCTCAGATAGACTACTTTACACTTTGATGTGTTGAAGGTAAGTCCATTGTTATCCTCACAACATTGAAGTCCACTCAGATCCACTTGAAATGCCAGTATGTCCTCTTGGTTGCGTATATATATATATATCCAAAGTTTCACATCGTCATCGAAAAGTAATAAGTCAAACGATACTTGTTGTGGAAGACCGTTTATACAAATCAAGAAAAGAAGAGGTCCGGGTACTGAACCCTGAAGGATCCCACAATGACATTCTGTAGCCTGAGGAAAAGCGAAGTTTGTCCCCCCTAATTATTTGGACATGAAGTCAGACAATCAATAAACGGTGACTTGATGTTTAATTGTTCGTGCTTATTGATAAGGCATACACGATTAACACTATCCAAAGCTTTTCAGAGGTCAGGGTATATGACATCAGCCCTCCCCTCGTGATCAATGGTGGATGTCCATCTGTCCACCGCGGTCGACAGTTTGGTTATACAAAAGTGACCATGTTGTCGGGGGTGAAAAGAAGTTTATTGATAACAAGTAGTCACGTATACCATCGTATATCAGAGACTCCATGAGTTTTGAGGTCATTGAGTAGTGTTACCGGTCGACAACTTAAAAATTCGCTGCGTCCGATTCCTATGAAGCTTAGTGTAATGCAAGCCAGCCTCCAATTTTTCGGTACCGTACCTGGACTTAACGAATGTGAGAACAATAGTCTAAGCCAAGACTGAATCCACTTTTCTCAGTTTACCAGAATGGTCAGGACCGGTAGAAATGTCTTCGATACGATGCCACCATTTCTGACACACCAGATTAGTACTCAGGTTTACTTCCAAAAGTCTTTTGAGTTATATATAGTTGCGTAAATGATTATTTCAAAAGTCAATAAATGTGGACAGATTTCCAAAAAGTGTTATAAGATTCTGGGGAAAATTGGGTTTTTGTTCCATTTCCCCGAAGCGGACATAATTTTCTCCAAAATAGGGAGATTAAAAAGTAAACATTTTGTGTATAAATACGCAGCAATACCATAAGCAACCAATAAAGTGGAAATAAAGGCGAACAAAGGGAGAATAAGAGGAAAATGTTATTTTTTCCCATTCACGTCAGTTATTTAGGAAAAATGTCAATTTTTCCACATTATGTGAAAAAGCAAACATTTTGGCGCGTTGTTCCATCATTTTTTCTTCATTTTTCAACGCATCTTCTTCTTTATTTCCCCTTTGCCTTCAAATCCTCTTAATTGGTTGTTTGTCGCTTAACAAGATAGAAACCAGACCTTTTATTTAAGTGAATAATTATATGATACTCAGCGCAGCATGTTTCTTACACTCTTGAAAAACATTTTACCAAATGGTGAAATAATGAAAGTTGTAGAATTTCGAAACTTCGCAGCTTTTATGTAACCAAGCGCTGGTTCATTGTACAATACCTGTCACGAGCCTCCATAAATCGATTGCTTTATTTACGTTCACTTCTTATCGCTTCAGCACGACTCCAGGCATTCGGTAATGTCTAATAAGTAGTAGTCTAGTCACTCAGCTGCGCTAGTTCTATTCAGGTTTGTAGTAGTTATTTGTGGGATTTTCATCTTATAGTTTGAGTGAGTTTGTCTTAGAGCGTCAGAGTTTCTGGGTACAATCAGTTACTACACTACCAGTAAGGAGGTTGGCTGGTTGCTTTAACTATGTAAAGTAGTCAAGTGAATATTCAGGTTCTAAGAGAAGACGATTGTTGCAATAAATAAATATACACGTTAATTGGTCGGTCGTCAAAACGGTGTAAGAAGTCAAGGGGGTAAGAATTAGAATAAAAACGGAGACGTTGATATAAGAGATAGGAATTAGTTACTGATAGGTAATAACGATAATATTAGCTAAATTATGAGACATTCAACACGCACAGCTGGTTCAAAAGGAAGATATCGATGCATGGGTGGGTACGTGTTTCTCAAGCCTTTTCTTGAAGCTATGAATTAAGAAGGCTGTAGTTATTATCTGAGGCAGTATTCCAAATAGAAGCAAGTTGTCGTCGTACAAAGTAAACAGTCACGATTGTAAACTTGTGAAACTACTCTGTATCTTTGATGTTGTCGAAAGCTTTGTTAATGCGATGATAAGATTAAGTTTATCAAAACCATGAGATATATTTTCTCAATACATTTTAAGCAAACTGATCACATATAGACAATATATATGAAGAAACAGAACTAGACAGTTTGTAATTTAAGAGGAGGGAAAAATAATAATTAAATACACAGTGTGAAAATCACGCTAAGTATCAAATCGCTATTACCAAAGTACATCAAAAGTAATAAAAGATTGCTTTTGAACATATAATGGAGGTTTCAGTTTGCTCATACTCAAGTACTCAACAAACCTTAGTATACCTTCTTGTAACTTGCATCAGACTATAATAGAAAAACTTGATATCAACCTCATGACTGATCTTAACCAAATGTTTCTCGATGGAAGAAGATATTCATCTACCCTGTGGTCTTATTCGACCGCTAAAAGTCATTTACTCTTGTAGCCATTTAGTTATGAATTTACTTAACCTTACTTACAATTCACGGTCCACCTTGCTGTATGTATTCCCGCATAAACATGTAAATTGATGTACGCAGTAAGACGATACAAATATGTGCATGCTATCCGGGTTTTTAGCGAAGCAGGAACCTTGGCTTTCCGATAGTGACGATTAAGGTTGCTTACAGTGTCTCATAACTAATTTAGGTCACCCTCACAACACGAGACCGTTCAACAGCGAGCCATGAATTCAGTTCGGGGGACTCAAATTCAAGCCTTATGAAGAGCGCCACCAATCACCAAACCTTTACCCATTAGATTGCAGGCGTCTTAGATGTGACCTTTTAATGGCTTACAGCATCCCTGACACTTCTGACCATCCTCTTAAACATCTACTTAAATTTAGCTACAACACAAACCTAAGGGGTAACACCCAGAAATTGGAGACACAACACAGCAGAACGAACTGTAGACAAAACTACTTCTTTAGAGTTGTCAAATGCTAGAGTTTGCTGCCAGCTGAGCTAGTCTAAGCGACTTCCCAGGAGTTCTTTTAGTAGTAACTTGACCTATTCTTAAGGAATAAGGATAGTATCTTACTATGATTTATCAATTTATTTTTTCCTCTTTTGCCGTTAATATACCTAGGTTCCTGCCTGGAGGTATTGGTGATCCACTGCTACTAGACATGGAAGCTCGTTAAGCGAAAGCTTCTTCTATTCTGTCCCCAACCATTTGAACCATTTGAACCATTGGTTATTTGAGGTCATTCCTAAGACCTTATTATGGAGGACATTTTAAGTTTTCATCTTCGACTGTAAATGGGTTGGGGTTTTAATACGTGTGGCCCGAATGAGGCTATGGTTGTCTCTGGCATGTTTCTGATCAAACGTTAACTTTTTCTTACTGCCACAGGTTGCTTTCATAAAAGTCCCTTACTAGTTCCTGGTGGACGAGTATTTGTCTGGCCAGGAATTCAAAGAGTGGAAAGGTGAGCATGATTCCTAATTATTTCAATTTCAATACAGTACTTTGTTCACTCGCTTCATTCTTTCCAAAGTGGAAACAACCCTAAAGCGAAATCACATATATATTGATGTAGACATCTTGTATAGACAGTTCTGTTAACTTATTCTCAATAGAATTATTTGTGTGGTACACTTATTTTAAAATTTAGGCAACATGTGGCCCTTGCGTAAATTCATTTATAAGGAGGGCCTTTGCTTTTTACGTGCAAGTACAAAAATCCCTATCGATTCATAATTGTCACTGCTAGGTTATTATATTTCTTTGGCTAAATAAACCTCACTCCACTTATAGTAGGAAGCAGGTCTACCGCCTTTCCTAAGCTCCTTGTGACTTAATACTATCTCTCTTATTTCGGACCATTTGGGTCCAAATGAGTCTGATTTCTTAAATGACATTCTGCTTAGTACGTCAAAAGATTTTGCTGACTTAATTTGCCTTCTACTCCAAATGTTGAGCCTCCAAATAGCTGATTCTGAGTCGTTGGACATTAGAATCAGTCATTCTCAGCGGGAAAAAAAGTGAGAACTTCCCTCCCTATCATTTGTTTCGAAAGTCATGAAAATAGTAATGAACGGATCCACTAGTGAATCTAGTTCCAAGGTACCTTCTTACCAACCTGCCAATCACTGAACAATTAATCCCTCAATTCGGACGAAGTTTCCATGGTTGTATCCTTCTGTTAGACCTCAAACAGTATATCGTGAAGTTCCTAGCTTGTATATTTGCTAAAATGTGTGTGGGATTGTCTCAATGACACGTTACAAATTTTCAAGCTTGATTTTTGTTTACTGGGCTTTCCATAACTAGTTGAATAGCGAACTTTTTCACTATCGACACACACCTTTTATCCTATCCATCAACCATTTACCGAATGAAAATTTGGGAACTATTAAATGTCATTATCCTTGAAAGCAATTTGGACAAAATAACTAACTGGACAACAAATATGCTCTCACTAAATAAATAATATTAAGCGTGGATATTAACACTATATTATGTTGTGGGCGGTTCTGCAGTCACAATCCTCGACTAATAAAATAATTAGAATCTAGTCTCAAGTGTCACGTTTTTCCGTTAGCGTTTTTCAGCAAATATCAAGTTTTGTTGAACAGAGTTGTTAGTTCCTTGAAATCTGTGCCTGACCTATTGATGGCCGTTTAAGTTAAGAAAGTATTATACTTCTGTTCAGTCTTCTGTAATATTAAGGAAAAACACTAGTAGTAATTGAAAGTTAACTGGAGACGTCTCCTTCAGTGCCAATGAACCCAATTTATTTTTCAAGCCTTTCGATGAAGTTGACAGAGTACCTCCATCATCAGCTATTTATCCCTCAAGATCTGTGCTTGAACCACTATCTGATACAGAAAGGGATTCCATAGGGAGGCAGAAGTTTGTAAGTATTTTTGTGATTGGTTTTTCGCGTCCTGATATTGGCTTCCCGATACCAAAACGCAAAGGTAATTTGTTAAGATTGAGAAAGTTTTCGACTGGGTGGTATATTTTAATCGTATCCCCCTTACTGACCACACTACACACACAACTTACGCAAATCTTCATCGAGAAACAACTGCATTTTTGCACTCATGTACTTCAGAAAATATATAGCTATCTCACAACAAGTTCTAAAGCAGCAGATAATCAAGTACGTGAACTTAGGAATAAACCTGAAAATGGCTACGATGTAACCCTTATGGTACTTATAATCTAACTCAGCCGATTTCCCCGAGGTTTGTGTTGAGAATACTGTAATCCAATGTAGTATCAAATCTTGCTCTTTAATGTAAACTTAAAACATCAGTCTATCATGCTCCTTTAAGAAAGTCTGCGTGGTCAAATTTCCTTCCTTCTAGTTTTAAATGAGCACACACCTCCGATGTCAAGTAGACATTTTACTTGACTTTGGACCGTACCCATGGTAGGTTAGTGATGTTATGCGGTTTCTGAAATTAAAGTAGATGAAAAAAAGATCCAAATGTACATCTCATGAATTCAAGTTCTTATGCCTCAGTCTTTAATCCACCACTGTATTTCTTATCGTTGAATCATGTATGCTGGGATATTATTTAAATCCGACCTTTTCTAATTAGTTAACTTTATATTGTGATTACTAGATAGTTTGAATATTGTGCAATTGTGTTTCTGTTCACTTTTTTCAATAATCAAATGAAGGATGCCATTGAATACAATGACATTAATCATCGAAAGCCCTCGAATCTACACTCAGCTTGGTGTTCCTATCACAGTAACTGGTGTTGCACAAGTATGTTTGTTTGTGGTTATACCATTTTATCTACTCAGAGACCACCTCACTACCTTAATATAGTAGTAGGATATATATTCTTGATATTTCTTAAGTTTTCTGATTTACATTTCGTGAGACTCTCAGTAAGGAGACAAAAACTAATGTTCGAAAAATTATAGTTATCTAGCCAAACAAGTACCAAAAGAACAAATGCTACGGAATCTTTCTTAGAACTATGATTTAGTCTACTTGAAATCGTGTTTTTTTAATGGCATTAGAAGTGAAGCTCTAACCTGATAATATTCGGCTTTTACAAATGGCCATATTAGCGTAGTCCGTTTTTGAACCTCCTTACTAACTCTACCATGTTTTTACAAAAATTTAAAAAGCTATCTGTTTATTTACCTGTTTCTGGATAGTATTTCCACCAGTTTAAATGTTAACTGAGTTCTGTCGATCATATTAGCAACATAGCTAAGGTAATTTACTGTTGTTAGCGGGACATAGATTAAAGCATGCTCAATGCATGATTGCTTTGGTGCACGCTGATTGGATAAGAATTAGCCAATCAGCACTAGTCGATAGTTGGGGAATACTCTGGAATCTTCTTATGTAAAAACTATAATTATACTGACGTTTTCCCTATTGTGCTTCTGACTTGCTTCTTACTTCCATCTAACCTTGTTATTTGGAATATAATCTCTTCCTGTTCAACCGTGTTTTGATTTGGGGACTTGTCGAGTGAATCGGTGTCCGAGAATACTAAGCAATAGGAATAGCTGGGTCATAACCGTAAGAAAAGAGAGTTATAACAACTGTGTTTAGTGATCTCAATCAGTGATAATATCTGATACTTACTTTCAACTATCCAGCAAGTTTAACCGTATTTTGGCATATTTATGTAGTCTGTTCGTTAGAGAGGATTGTTCTCTGGGATTCTGTTGGTGAAGGGTTTGACTGAAAGGTTTATTAACATCTTAAAGTGTCTATGTACAAACACCTGAGGTAAAGTGAGGGCATACAACTACCTCTCTTCATTGTCCTGTTCGATCAATAAGATTAAACAGGACTGTCTAATATCACCACTACCCCCCAATTTTCCCATAAGCGACCTTTAGGAAACAGCTCTGATGAAAGCGGGTAATGGTAGTTTAGATCTATTACCTGGAGAAGAACCTTTCGACCTTGGGTATGTGGATTATATTGTCATGCACTATGTAGGAGCCTGTGCCTACACTCTTGGTAGTGAGCAGTTAAAAGTAGTCAAAAAGTTCGTGTATTTGGGTAGTTTTGTAAGTGTTGCCGTCGGTGTTAGCGGAATATAGATTGGATTAAAGCACGTTCCGTGGACGCTGATTGGCTATTTCCTATCCAATCAGCGCTAGTCGATACTTGGAGAAGACTCTAGAATCTTCTCAAGTAAAAACCATAAATATACTAACGTTTCTCTTATTGTGCTTCTTACTTCTATCTACCCTTGATATTTGGAATATAGTTTCGTTCCCGTTCAACGTGTTTTGATTTGGGAACTTGTCGAATGAATTGTCATCCAAGGATACTAAGCAATAGGAATAGATGGGTTGTAATAATAGAGGTTATAACAAGTGTTTTATACCAGTCTGGGCCATCTTTGGCTCCTTCGTGATGATAAACTCTGTAAGATGTCGGATTTACAGCGCTTCGGTAAGAGCAGTTTTGTGAAACATGACCTCTCTGACTTGGAGAAGTTGAGCGATTCTCGATGTCTGATCATCGTTGCCTCCAAAAGATCCCTAACATTCAACGTTAGCACCATGTTATTACTGCAGAGGTTCGCCAACATGTTTTCGGGCACAGCAACGATAATTCAATTTATATCACTATCTTGAAACACCGACTTTGGTGACTTGGACATGTACTAAGCATGTCATCCCAGTAAATTTCATATCGTACAGTATTTGCAGACCCTGGGGCTAGTTGGAAAAAGCAGAACTGGTCAGTCTGTGATATGGTTCCGTGGTTTGCAATAAAGCTGTACAGAACTGGTATCTGTTGGCCCTTCACGACTCCCTGATTGGGGTCTCATAGAAAGTACAACACAGTCTCAGAAGACGTTATCAGACATGACTCAGAATAAAAGCTAATGGTGGTTCTAGTGTAGTTTTCGTTTACTTTCATACAAACAAGAGGAACTTCTTGGACTGGAAGAATTCCTTATAGTTGTATTTTTCCTAATTGAACTGTTTCTCCTATTATATTTTTTTACTCTCATTTACTTATTTTGGTTCATCTGTTATGTTTCTTACCATATATTTCTTTCTCTATCCCTTTTCAATCTCATTTTGTTATTATGTGGCGTATATTTATTTTGGTGCCGCTTTGTACCAATACTTGTGTTTAAATTAACGATAAGCACTGTTTTCTTGAGAAAGCTATTTTCACTAGCTTTCCCATTATTCTGTCTTGTATCTAGCTAGTTGTTGATACTGTCAAAATCTGGGGAGTGTGAGTTAGTTTTATATCAAGACAATTTCTGTTTCTCTATTTTACTGTCAAACTAACCGAAACTATAGAAACATTTTACTGCTGATTAGACTAAAACATCACCTCTGTGAAAGATTGTTATAGAGAACTATATACAAGAAAGTAGACAGTGAACATTTATATTGAAGCGGTTACATCATCATTTTTGAACATGTCCTAGATACCTACTTTAAAGATTCTCATTAATTACATCCACCGTAGAAGGACTCTCGGTTTATATTGTTTAACAATTCAATAAGTGGAGCTTTCTCATCTTTACTTTTATGTAACTTAATTTAGGTAAAAATTAATGGAAGTAACCAAGAAATGTTAGCGGCTGCATGTGAACAATTTCTTGGCAAATCAGAAAATGAAATACGTGAAATAGCTCAAGAAACACTTGAAGGTCATCAACGTGCTATTATGGGCAATATGACAGTTGAAGAAATATACAAAGATAGAAAAAAATTTTCAAAAGCTGTTTTTGAAGTAGCCAGTTCGGATTTGGTGAATATGGGAATTAGTGTAGTTAGTTATACACTAAAAGATATAAAAGATGATGAGGTATGTATGTAGTAATAATTTTTATTTGGATATATGGTTCTCCGAGATTCTTTTCCAACTTAAGTATGATTTTCATCATAAATTGACATCATTTAGGTAGTTGGGGAAAACTTTAGAGGACTGAACACCTATTTCGTTCCGTTTTGGAGGTCCTGTACATAAAACTTTGTCCAGAACCTTTATGTCTCACGACGAGCACAGTAACATCAGTTCACTAAATCACTTTACTGAATAAGTTGAGTTCATCATCCATTCTGTTTAATGTTATGTATCTTTAGGCAGTCAGTTAGGATGTAGATGGTTGGAGGTAGTTTCCAAAGGGCCATTACATCAAAATATAACCTAGATAACGTCAAATTACTTAGGCGAATACCCATATTGCAACTTGATCTATAAAATTAGCTAGCATTAAGAACTAAGCAAAAATGATAATGATTATCTCTTGATGATCGATTAGTGCAAATCGACAGGAAGTTTTAAACCCTAGTTTTATACTCATGAACACTCTTCAATCAGTCTTACCTACAATCTTAAAGAAATCAACGCTCGATCAGAGAATAGTGCTTGTGTCACGCAATGTCTTAATCAAAGACATGCTGTTGAATTATTTTGAACAATTGTTATCCTGTAAGACTGACATTTTTTGCACTAACTGACCACTGAGTACTAACAGTTAACCGATCGAAGTTGAAATTCCATACCTGATACTCAACATCAGTCAGATTTTTTTTCTGAGTCATGTGACTTCATACCACATAAAACATAAAGATTCTCTGATTCTTGGATATCTAGATTCTTGATCAAATATCAAGTTATTTTTTCGTAGATTAAAAAAGATAACCTCTAAATCTTGAATTTAGGTTATTTTTGATGATCCTTATTGATTTAATAGAAACATTAAAACATTTACTAGTAGTAGTTCATTGGTTTTTAATGTTCAAATTTAACTATCAGTTCTTATTGTCATATTAATATATTTTGTTAATCTTACTTCATCATTGAACAATAGTTGTTTCGATCAACATTATTTCTTGATCTAGTTAACATTCAAAAATTACTAGTTTGAGCATATCGATTAGGTTACTTTTAATCAGTTTGAGTGATTTATAAAGTAATCTAGTAAAATTATCTGTAAATTTTCTATGTATGTTTGCATAAATTAATCAGTCAGTCATCAACAACTTGAAATCTAGTGCATATCAATATCAGTTCAAGTTGTCATATCATATCAGCATTGAAAAATGAAAGTATCTAAATAAATGCCAGGGTAATAAAAGTAGCACTTGTTATTTTTACTACTTGATTACAACTTCAGCACGTCTAGAACCCTCAATTCGCAGGTTAAAAGTCAGAAGAAAATAGGAAAAGCGTTTACTACAGTGTCAAAATGTACAGAAAAACAGGTGTATATGTAGTTTTCCACACGTGCTGTAACATCATTATTATATGCGTAGTCATGTGAGAGCATTTTGAGAGGGAAAGAGGACTCTCCCCATCCTCAGCCGCACCAGGACATTTTGGGGTACCCAATCGTCAAGCAGGAAGTTTATACACTTGTCCATCTACACGTTGATTTCCCAGAAAATTCTACCGGGCTGTGATTAGGTGGGATCTTTTTGGCTCTTTTAGAGCTCCTGGAAGCTTTATCTTGTTTTCTGGGAGCTGTTTCAACAGTAATAACATAATTGATGTTTAGCAAGATTAGACATAAACAATGTAATTCTAGACAATAGAGTGAATTCTTAGAATAGAAAAGCATAAAATAATTTTAAGAGTCAGGATCTAAGAGAGAACAACAAGTAAACTCATCTGCCCCATTGAGGCTGGTTTTCAGTTAATTCAACCCAAAGTCCCCAACCAGGTAGCTTGTACCTGTGCATATATATAATTACACTTGATAGTTAGTAACAGTAGAATTCAAGATGCGTGTTTAATCGAATGTACAGTTCATTAACTGAATTTCTTTGGAGCTCAGTGATTGTTGGTAATATAGTATAGACTCAGAGATTGTAACACCACTTAAAAAAGCCAGATTATAATTATTAATATTCATCTTGTACTGATTATTTGGATCTTCCCATTGACGTTTAGGACTGCGATTGATCAGTCACTTTTTGGCATATATGTATGTTGTACAATTTACCCCGATATTGCCTCAAGTCAGAAGCATTGTGAACAGAGATTGATGGTGGAAGGTACATCGAGCTGATAGGTCCCAAGTAGGACGAAACGCGGGTCGCGGATTCCACTGCTACCCACCATCTATCTCTGTTCATTATTATTATTATTGGTCGGCAGATCACGAAGTTACAATAACTACTTTTTGTGATGCGATTGAATTTCTTCCAACTAGATCCGTTGATAAATTTAACCAAAGCAAGAATAACAAGGTTTGGACAAGAAAAATGAATTCATTCTACTATATGTTGGATCCAGCTGATAAGAAACCGTGAAGTAGAATAATGAATTTATTTTGTCCTACAAACTTTGATGAGTTTTTATTAACTTATAGGGTCTTAAATAATTAAATTGGTAATTCCTGCTATTATATCTTTGCTACATTAGATAATGGTTAATAATGAGATGGTCAGCTGAATAAAAATAGGATATCAATAACTAAGTGTTATGAAAAACACTTGCACTATTAAAGCCTGAAGTTTCTTTAAAGATTATTGTTAAGTTATTTTAATGTATTATAGTTTATCCTACATAACGTTAGAATATCATTGAAATGTGTCTCAGTAGACTTTCATCTCACTTATATTTTGCTACCATTTTTGTGGAGTACTTGTTATGTAATAGTATAACTCATTCAAATTTTCCATAGATTTCGGTAAGGAAGTAGTTGACGTGGATTTGCATACAATACAATTTAACTGACTCATGTTATCCTATTTACTAAAATTAACATCCAAATATGATTAGATTAACATAGCATAGATTTGATTGTTAAACGCTATATAGTTCTTCGATGATTTTGATTATTACCCTAAAGAAGTCTAGACAAGTTAGCTGGACAAAACGTTGGAATTATTTTAAATTTTAATCGCTGAAATTATTTGAAATATAATTTTTACATATAATGTCTTCTCTATAGTCGGCGCCCAATTTCTGTCAAACTATTCGTTCTAATCTTGTTGAATATTCGTACAGGGTTTACTACACGAACTAAAGAGATTAAGATGATAATTTAGGTGTCTAATGCACTGGGCTTTTAAGTAATAAATCACTTACTTTGATATGAGCAGTAGAATACTATCACTACACAGATATAATAGAGTATATAAACTTATATTTAATGAGTTATAATATGAAATACTGCAAAAGTTAGGAGCACTTATATAAGAATGTACTGCTCGGATTAAGCCTGGGCTGTGTCTGGCTCTCCTGTTAAACAGCATTAAACTGTACTGTTTGGGTTGTCACGTCAAAGTCGGGTTCTGAAATCCAATGTAAAATTACCCTAGTTTACAAGGATATATTATATAACTGTGGAACAATAAATCATAAAATGTTTAATCCAATACACACGATTGAGTAAAGAGACAATAACAGGTATTATTACTGAAATCACAATATTGTGTGAACTGTAAGTGTCAATTTCATTTAATTATAATAATGATTATATTTGTTGTATATTTAAGAAGATCAGTCATCCAACGGTCATGACTGTAAAAAAGAAAATATACATTAATCTGCTACTTAAAGATAATGAATCAGATAAAGTCCTGATCATATGATGCATAAGACGTTCTCGTGATAACCTGACCATCATTTTAAGTATCTTACACTAGTTATTCACCACTACATACCTGCATAAAGGACAAGTTACCTTGGTTGAATATCTTAATGTACATATATTTGCTCACCTACAGTTGTAAAGGTAGGTGCGCAAGTAGTTCATTGAGAACCGTTTGTCGGTACGCAAGAGAGGATCTCTTGATTATGCTTTAGTAACAAATAACTCAGAAGCATAAGCAATGCACATAAGGTGGTTTAATTGAATTTAGAACAATTCACATACATTCGTGGTGTAAATTAGTCAATAGTAATAAACATAGATGGATTGATAAGTAAATTTTTTACCCAATTTGAAAATTTCGAAATAAATGAAGCTGGTATTGGGCGAATCCAAAAAAATGTGTAGTATTTATGATAATATGGTATTTATATTTCTGTGATCGATTCTTACATCAGCTAAAATTGTTAATAACCGGGGATTTTTTATTTCACAATGCCTACCCTATTCATTCTTGGTTTTGTACATAGTTCAGACCAGTTGTTAATGAACTCTAATGAGTTATTCTACCATCCTACGTACCTAGATTACGTTACTACTTTGAGTAACGTTTTGAAGTATATAACACACTCCAGTCTCAACCAGTTCATGTCCCATATCTTATCAGTTGATTTACTTCATATTATATACCATTCACGAATGACTCTTTAAAACTTCTAGTGGCCAAATACCTCTGATCTGATAATGTTGTTTTTTTAGCTTTTACCTTTTGGTCACTCATAATCAACGTAGAGCCTGGGACAAATGTGTGTCAGTTCAATTTGTCATACCATGTCAACATAGAGAAATGAAATTGACAGGATTAATAGTGAATAAGTCTTAATTGTAGTAGTATAAGTGATGGGGAGAAAAATACGATATTAGAGAATATTGCTCGAAAAGAAGATATGCATTGGAGTAATACACGTATAAACTAGTATTGCAGCTAAATATTAAGGGAAAGATAAAGATTAAATGCATCTGTGTCACTGTGACCAATTCTAGGTCTCGTCATCTAATATCTTCAACTAATGATTAAGGTTATCACAAAAATTTGGACCAGGTAGTATGCATCTGCCATTATGGTTCGCTACAGGTGCCAGTGACTTCATATATCATATTCATGTATTATAATAAAATACATGATTAAACGGGAAACGGGAATTTTAGTATGTCTTTATATCTACAGGATCAGAAATGATTTATATTTGCAACCATCATAAATTTATTCACTCTTAGTTTACTTCAAAAATTGAAGCCATTTCTCATTTTAGTACTGTGTAAATAGCTTTCATAATTTTTTAACATGAATATTATTGTGAATTATTTTACAGTACGTCCTTAGCACCATCATGTTTTATGGCAGTTACAATATCTTCAGGTCGTTCAATTGAAATTCAATTTTGATTTAAACCAGTCATATTATACAATCCTCTATCTAATTTCAATCAATGTTATTTTCTTATCTGTGTATCTCCATCCCTTCGTAGGGTTATTTACGTTCACTTGGTTTAGCAAGAACAGCACAAGTTAAATGTGATGCACGTATCGGTGAAGCCGAGGCAAGACGTGATGCTGGTATTCGAGAAGCAGAAGCTGAAAAACAACGTGTTGCCGGTAAACTATTAAATGATATTGAAATTTCTAAATCAAAACGTGATTTTGAATTACAAAATGCCGCTTACGAGAAAGAAGTACAATCACGTAAAGCGGAATCGGAATTAGCCTATGAATTACAGGTAATTTTTCGTTGATTTCTAACTAGAATTATGTCTATGCTTTTTTCATTGCGGTGGTTTGTTTTATTTGTTTTTCACTGTGCATCTGAATACTTACTTATTCCTGTTACTCCTTGTGGGGGAGCATAGGCCATCCACCAGCACTCCCCATCCAACCCTATCCCTGGGCAATCCTTACCAGTTCTTTCCAGATCTGCTTCTATTTCCCGACGTAATTTATTATTTGTCCTTCCGCTTCCTTTCAGGATTCCAAGTTAGGGCTTTCCTCGTGATGCAGTTTGGTGATTTGCGTAATGTATGTCCTATCCAGTTTCAGAGTCTTGTCCTAATTTCCTCTTCAGCTGGAAGCTGTTTTGTCCTCTCCCATTATAGGCTATTGCTGATGGTATTCGGCCAACGGATATTGAGTATCTTACGCAGACAACTGTTTATAAATACTTATAACTTCTTGATGGTGGTTGTAGTAGTTCTCCACGTTCCAGCTCCGTACAATATGACTGTCTTGACATTCATACTGAAGATTCTGACTTTGATAATGGTTGACAGTTGTTTTGAGTTCCATATGTTCTTCAATTATAGGGATGCGATCCCTTGCTTTGCCAATCCTCACCTTTACATCTGTATCCGATCCTCCTTGTGTCACCGATAATGCTTCCCAGTGTTGGGGACGTTAGATCCCCAGAACTCACTTGGAAAAGGACCTCATTTTGTAATTTTATTTAGAAAATTTGAATTTCTTTATTCTCGCGCCCAAGTCGCTCTTGTCACCTTCACGTCGTATTTCCCACTGGGAAATATCTTAACTGCTATTAGTCCGTTGCGTCTTTCAGTATGCTATTTGGTAACTCTCTCCAAAGACGGTTTAGTATTGTATATGTAAGTTTTGAATTGTGTTTGTTGTTATCGCTCGTTTCTGGCTGTTTGCAAAATATACTTCCCCATTCCAAGCTTGGACTTCTCCCTCTAGTTAGCGGGGCTGGGTCGCATCAGTAGCTAGCTTACTGGTCTTTGGTCACCGAGTCTTGTTTCTCGTTCGCAGATTAAGTAAACTCGTGATAGCTTCAACTCTAGCACTCAGGTACGTGAAAGACTCCACATCTTCCAGAGTTTTTTCATCAAGTGTGATTGTGTTGGTGTTCTCCGTGTTGTATTTGAGGACGTTGCTTTTTCCTTTGTGTATGTTGAGGCGTACTGATGCAGAGGCTGCTGCTACACTAGTTTTCTTCATCTGCATTTGTACGTGTGTATGGGCTAGGAGGACTATGTCATCTGCGAAGTCCAAATCGTCTAACTGATTCTAATCTGTCCATTGTATTCCATTTTTTCTCTCAACTGTTGAGGTCTTCATAATCCAGCTTGTTGATATCGAAGTTGGGCATCTATTGCGTCTTTCATCTGGTTCAGTAACACTCTACTGAAAACGTTTTTTGGGTACTGACTATAGTGTGATGCCTCTGTAGTTCTCACAGTTGCTCAGATCTCCATCCATCTGAATGCGTTATTAATAAAAATGCAACAGTAGGTACCGAAAGTTCTTAATTTTTTCAGTCTTCAGCAAAACTTGGGATGATGCATATATATATCACTAAGTTGATATTTTTAACATGTGGTTATTTTTATTGTTTCAAGAAGACTTTTGTAAATCATGCACCAATTAACGTTGTGAAACTCATCAATAATGTTAGTATTAATAAAGATTCTAAATTTTTAGTTCAAAATGGATTTAATTTATCATTTTTTTCTTTGATGAAACTATGGAGCAAAATATTTCGTTAGACTCTCACCAGTTGCTCACAACCTACTGTTTGATGATTCAGATTCTTTTCTCATTGTAGTTGTTTTAAATCACCATTATACCATGATAAAACATATCCATGTCTGACTAATTTTACTGTTATAAGTAGGGTAACTTTACAATAACTTTCATCTTAAAATACTGTAGGTTGTAAGTAACTTATGAGAACCTAAAGAAATAAAAGGAACTAAGTGTATGGAATATGTGTTCATGTTAAATATCTTAAATTATTTGTGGTCGGATCCAACTATAGCTGTTACCTTAATGAAACAGTCTGGTTAGTGTATCAGGACGATCCGTTGGATCGTATTGTCAACAGTACTCAATAGTGATGGGAGTATAATGTCTCTCACAGATGATCAGTGTCTCTGGAGATATTGCATTTCCACAGATGAAAGAAGGGGGGTTAAAAAGGTTTATTCAAAAAAAAAACACATCCCATTAAACCTCAAGGATTTTCAGTTCAGACAGTAAGGTCTCTTAGGCTCTATGATCAGACCTAAATGTTGACAAGATATTCATTACCAACCTAGTTTCTTTTGCAGGCCTTTTAAGAAAATATTTCCTATTTTAGAATTGAGAACCACTCACACACTTCTAACAGTATTCAACCTCATTTTGCTATTTAGCCGTTATTGGGTTTTAATTCTGCATTTACAGAATCAATTAAAGTATGTTATTTGCATACCTACTTAGATATATTGCATTTTATGGAATCACCCTTAAAATAATATCGTAATATAATTGTTATCAGTTTCAGTTGAAACAGTTGCTGAATCAGTCCTATGTATTTGAACTTTTATTGAATACTATAGAGGTAGTTTCACTGTTCCTCAGTTATATTTTCGGGTGACGGATCACGGTTTTGAATTTCGTCTCATTTGCGCAGTCAGTTTGTATTTAAATCCTGATTACCGAATTAAACTAATTAATTAAATCATAAAAAGAATACATGATATTTTTCTTATCTTATGTATCCTCCTCTTGTCTCTCTCACACATATACCTGCATTTGGAACAAAAACTAGGCAGCTAAAGTTAAACAACAAATTAAGGAGGAAGAAATGCAAATCACCGTTCTTGAGAAAACTCAACAAATCCAAGTGGAGGAATTAGAAATTGTACGACAAGAACGTCATTTAGATGCGACGGTACGGAAACCAGCTGAAGCTGAACGTTTTCGTTTGGAACGTCTCGCTGAAGCTGACCGGCTACGTTTAACTGCCGAGGCGGAAGCAGAAGCTGAGGCTATTCGGTTACGTGGTCTTGCTGAGGCGGAAGCATTAAAAGCTATAGCACACGCTGAGGCAGAACAAATGGCAAAGAAAGCTGAAGCATGGAAAAATTATCAGGTTTGCTTATTTATTTGTTTATTGATCAAAATAATTAATGTAGTTCGTTTGCCAAGTATATAGTTTCTTGATCTTACAGTTAAACTAACACTACCTACCCCCTACCCCGACACAAAATGTTAATTCATTTAACAGTAAGTTGGAAGAAAACTAAGTGTGACTTAACCAAGAGTTGGCCTTAATTCATGAAATCACTGGATTGAGTCGTGTCAAGAAGTGCAAACTAACTGATTAAGGTCCATAGGATTGTTGTAACCAATGGTTGAAAACATGACTCAAAATCTATGGACAATGATGTAAATGATTTCACTCGGTGTTTCCTTAGATTTTGGGTTTTGAAATTATTTCATACTATTTTATTCCACGAATTAATTTTTTCTCAAATCATATTACCTTTGCTTAGTGTTTTCTACTATTATTGATAGTGTTACTAACTTCATAATTTGATCTCATTGTAATGATGTAGTGTGACAACTTGAACTTATGCACACATGTGCCGGTTTCTATTTTGCACACAATTATTAGATTGATACTATCCAATTAGCGGTGTGTTTTTGTACTATAAAAGTCCAAATGAAATGAGTGCATTATTCACTAGAAATCAATAAATAAGTGGTAATTACCTCGAAGATAAACTATGTTGAAAAGACTGGTATAACTTAGAGAATTTTTGGAAACCATAGAAACGAAGATAGATACTCGATGGAAGTTTTGTACAAGTTTGAAGCTTCTCAACTTCTTTCTAAGTTTGATTTGTTATGTAAGTCATTCACCAACTGTGGGTTCATATAATCAAGTTTGTGTTGTAGTCTAGTTATGCGAGCGAGGTTCAAAATGGTGACTTATTTATTGAAAGTTAACACTTTAACCATTAAGTTACATCTCTATCGATTTTTAATCAGTGTATATACAATTATAATATTCTTAACTTTTAGAAGGTCCAACTTTCAAATAATCACATCATTATATGCATATGAATTTTGCATTTATCTTAGTTGATTATTGCTAGTATTCTGATCTGTAGAGCAATCATACTAATTTTATGAAAGGTAAAGAAGACAGTATTAGAATTTTAACTGAGTTTATCTCCATTCTCTTGCCATCAAAGTTACACTCACTGTATGAAGCGTATTTATACTATTCTGTCACCCGAATTCAACGACATGGAATAAGGTTGAAACCTGTTATCTTATGGTTTAACTTTGATTATTCTAACCACCAAACAACTACTGGTCTTGAATAAGTACATGTCTATTGAATAACAAGATATAAACTCAATTACATGATCATTTTCTATTACCGTTTCTAATTGCCTGTTTTAAACTCCTGATTCTTTTTTATCCTTCATATTATGAGTAAAACTGAATATGTTAATAAAATTATAGTTCTTTATCTATAAACTAATATGAGAACACAAATGTGTACTCATAACAATGAAGGAATATTTCCACATTAATATATACTGAATGAAACTCAATTTATTAAATCTATTTATAGTTCCTTGTTAGTGATATGTTTACTACTATGTTCGATAATTTTATATAGTAGCTCCGAATTATTCAACGAACGATCAGTCAGTCAGTAACAACGTAGAACTTCTTACGTACGTACATCATTTCGAGTTGCCATACCACATTAGCATGGAGATGAAGTCGTCGATTCAAATCCCGTAGTGGTAGAGGTAGACAGAGTATAAGCAGTAATCGGGAAGATTAGGGTTTGGCGATGTTATTTAAAGAGTATAATTCAGTGAGATAAATTTGGGAAGAGAAAAAAAGAGACAAGGAGGAATAAGGAGATTAGAATTTGGGAGAACACAAAGAGTGGATGCACCTGCGCCATTGCAAACGATTTTGAGCCATGTCATTCAGGGTCTCTAACCATCGGTTGCTATCATCTCGTGGTCCCCAACCAGGTAGTCTATACCTACCAACATGACTCAGTCCACTCGTCAGTGACTTCATGGACTTGTGCCATGTTTTGGTTTGGCCGCCTCTAACTTTCTTCCAACCTACTCCTATACCACTGAACATAGCACGTCGAGGTAGTCGGTCGTTGGGCATACGTAACACATGTCCCAGCCATCTCAACTGATGAAGTTTCACTACTTCATCAATTGGTTTGCCATCCTTACCTAGTACCCGTTTCCTAACAAATGCGTTACTTACTCGATGGTCCCAGAATATACGAGCAATGTTTCGAAGACACCTTTGATCGAATACTAGTAACCTACGAATATCCTCTACTCTTACCGGCCATGTTTCACTGGTATAAAGTAGGACAGAACGAACTGCTGAGCAGCAAACCTATCCTTCGGTTGGTAGATGGATATCTCGCCTACGCCATAAATAACGCAATTTGGCAAAAGCTAGTCGAGCCTTCTGTGTCCGTGTTAAGATTTCGTCGCACACTAGACCACAAGGGCTGATGAGACTTCCAAGATAGGTGAAACGGTCGACACGCTCTACTACTTCACTCCCTATCATTAGTTCAGGTGTCAATGCCACCTAACCCTGAAGTAACATTTTCATTTCGATGGGGAGAATCGCATCCCGAACATGCTTGCATTGTTGCTTAGAGTGGTCAGAAGACTCTGCATTTTGTCAGCGTCTTCACCAAATAAAACCATGTCATCAGCATATTCTAAGTCAACAAGTGAACCTCCCGGTAGAAGTTCAACCCCTGGAAATCTAGACGAGGAAAGTGTTATCTCTAAAAGTACGTCAATGACAAAGTTGAATAAGAATGGGGAGAGTGGACAGCCCTGACGAACACCACTTGAGGTAATCGATTCTGATGACAGTTCGCCATAAGCTCTCACTCTACCAGTTGTGTTCGAGTAGAGAGCCTTTATAAGGTTAATGTACTTCTTTGGTACTCCTTTCAATGACAAACACTGCCATAGAACCTCACGATCAACAGAGTCGAACGCTGCCTTAAGGTCGAGAAATACTACGATTGTGGGGTGTCTGAATATTTAAATGGTTTCAATATGAAAAAAAAACAAGCTAACCATTTTGTATTACACAATCTTCTGTTAAATATTTTCATAAGATGTTTGTCAGAAATGTGAGCCTTTAAACGTTTCATCAATCAAATGTTTCCATCAAAGAATTTCAAATAAAATTTGAACAGAAAAGATATTTCTTTTCAGTTAATTCCTTGTTGTCATGATGACTTAATTGAAAATAATATTAGTGATACATTTTTAGAGCTTATGTAATAGGTTAATTGAAACTAACTATCTGAAAATTACATATGTATTTCAATTTAATTTGGGACTTCTCAACAGTACATCTCCACTATCTTCAGACATTGGTACTCATGGTCTTCTGCTTTGACAGAGTGAACTTGTCTTTAGGCTAATGTATTTCATTTCATTATTCCACGTTTCTGTAACGTCAATCAGTTCTTGATTACATGATAAGTTCTGTACTGTTAAATAATAACAAGAAAATTAATCCATCGGCTAATTATTAACATTGATTGCATCAATGTTTGAATGAGAAATGTGTTGGGGAGATCCAGAAAACTCGGAAAAAAACCTAAAAAATGGCTGTGAAAACATTGAGAGAAGCATCTTATCGAATTGACATTCACTTGAAGTTATGCCAGAAACATCTACAAAGTTAAGTCACATGTTGAGTTTCTGATTGAATGGTTACCTATACGGCTACTATGTTCACTGGCGTTCCAGAATTTTCGGGAAACCCAAGGTCATCTAAAATACTATAAAAACACTAGATTTTCTGTACATAAACGAAACTTCGGAGTAAAATGTTTCTTCCATATCTCGCGCCTTTTCTCTCGTGTTCAAGTTGCTGTGTAGATCTAGCCTGGGGTTACTAGAAGAGCTAGCGTTCAATTAGAAGACTTATCAAAATGTTAGCACCATTTTTGGTTGACTCGATTTAAAGGAATCAATGTCAACAGAATTACCATACAGATTTACTGCGAATGCTTAGTTTAGGCTTATTTGTGTAAATTATTATTATCATACAGTATGTAAAACACAAGTTGGATAGAACTCAATTACCAACTTCAACAGAGATATACCCACGTTAATTTAATATCAGTGAAATTTATAATGATACATATATCTTGTTTTTACTGTTTATCGTCTACCTCAATCATGAGGAATGATGTTGTTTCTTGAAATACAATCACACATTTTGTTTAAATCACAACTTAATGGATAAAACACTCGAATTTCAACTATTGAGTTGCATGTTTGAAACTCCCTCCATCTACTTAATTTAGTCAGACAGATTATATTGCTATCCTTCACATAACAAAATTTTACGGGGCTCAGTATTGACGCGTGAAGAGAGTCAGCTCTCCCTCTAGATTTGCTCTCAAGTGGCCACGTGCATACAACCCCTGCTAGGGAAGTACTACTCACACTGCCTTCTCACGGCATTACTGTTGTTTACCAAATTGAGAGGACGAAAGCCGAATGTACGGCGCTTTAATCGGGTAGATTGATATAGAGGATCCACCTAAGGAAGTTGGAAAACCCTGACTCAAAACCAATGGTGCACATGGTCTCCAGTATCCTAAGGGAACAAATGGCGTATGAATCAATCGTTGATCACCGTCTACCATAGGACTGCATCTCCCGACACTGCTCCATTTCTTTGTGGATTAGACCTTTAGGTCAAAGGCTCCGGGTGTTCCCTCTTATGAAAGCCACCTGTTTCGGTTTGGGCAGTATCACAGCCCTCACACAAATCGAATGATTTATATGGTGTATATCTGTTTGGTGCCTCCTTGTACCAATGTTTATGTTTAAATAGTAAATTCCACTGCTAGCCGCTATCCATCTTTGCTTATAATGCTTGTGAATTCAGGCAATATCGAGGCATACGCACAGTATGCACATATGCCAATCACAGACTGATCAATTGCAGTGTTAAACCTCAATGGGAAGATACAAGTAAAAGACAATATCAAGTGAATTCGAATTCACCCCATTGCACAAGCAAGTGGCTATGAGAACTCAGTAGCTGAGTGGATCACGCGATGGCGTTTCAAGCGAATGGTACTGGGTTCGAGTCACGCAGTGAACATCAACTCTGAGACGCAGGTACATCCAACTGACGAGTCTCAAACAGGGCGAAACACGCGTCAAACTGGATTCCACTGCTAGCCACTATCCTTCTTTGCTTATAATAATAATAATAATTGACGCGTACATAAATCTATTCTGTTTTTACTCGTTCTTTTAACAAACAAATATACTTTAATATTTTTCTTTCTTTCTTTATTTTTTTCTCTTCAGAATGTTGCTAAATTAGACATGGTATTACAATCATTACCAAAAATTGCTGCCGAGATTAGTTCACCATTAACTAAATGTGATAAAGTCACTATGATTTGTACAGGTGAAGGGGATATTGGTGTTTCAAAATTAACTGGTGAATTATTTACAATTATGAATAGTTTACCAAATTTAATACATACAATGACTGGTTTAGATATTTATAAAAATATTAAAACGATTTAATATTGAAACATTGAAACTATTTCTTTATCTAAATGCGATCAATCAAGGCGCGTAATTCATAATGATTGTTAATTAGTATTATTGATGTTGTTGTTGTCAGTGTAATTTCTATTCTCCAATCGTTTTATGATTTTTCTTTGTGTTTTTTTCTCATTCATATTTTGCCTACTTATTTAGTAGTATAAATCAATTTAATAAAAATGTTTAACAAAGTATATTTGTTCTTTTCATATCAGTTGTATTTTCTCTTAAACATTGAATAACATTGACATCTCATATTGATGATATGTAAATTGTATTATTAAATGGTAGCATAAGATAAATAAGTTTGTTGTTTTCAACATAATAACACGGTTGAAGTTGATGTTATATAGCTTAAGAGACGAATAAAGCGTTCAATCCGCAAGACTTATCAATATATATATATATATATATATATATATATATATATATATATATATATAAGTCTTGCGGATTGAACGCTTTATTCGTCTCTTAAGCTATTCTGTAATCCCCAAACTAGAACTATACAGCGACCTAAACACGAGAGAGAAGACGCGAAGTATGCGAAAAGTAGTTTACTCCAAGGTTCATTTTAATACAGGGTTTTTATAATATTTTAAATGTCCTTGGGTTGCTAGAAGATTCTGGAATGCTACTAAACATAGTATTAGTGTAGCAGCCGGGCAATCAGAGCCTCTGCATGTGACGTTTCGCTTCCTTGATATTTTTGGCTAAGACTTCAAGTGAACGCTGATTTGATGAAACTCTTCTTAGTGTTTCCTGATGCTTGCTTGTCTTTTGCAAGCAATTTTCTGGATCATCCCAACATATATATATTTATCCTGCAAATTATATACACATATCAGATGGTGTTAATCAAATAACAAACTCATACCTCTCTCTGTTATCAGTTTTATCCTACTTTACATAGCATCTTAAATTGGCATAGATGTCGCCTAGAATGATTTTAGAGACAAAATGTAATTGTAGGATGGAATTCTTCAATCTCGACTACTAAAATTTATTATGTGATTTAACACGAGGTTCAAAATTTTGAGCATGTAATTATCGACGCATTTCCAAGTGATTAAGTATAGTAATTGATACGCTTGAATCGTTAACCTTATTTAGACATGTAGGTAATTATGAGATAAAAGAAAGGTTCATAGAAGGTGTTATTAAGAAACGAGAATTTGGCTTAAGCGTAAGATTAACTTGAGTACTGTTGTGAGTATGCGAACGGTTTTTTCTGTAAGTTCCCTACACCGATGATGGACATTTTTTGAAAGAAACCTAAAATGGAACCTGGTTTTTCATTGATCATCTTTCTGAAACAAAAGTGTGGCCACATATTTCAATAGGAAACTACTTAAGGCCAATTACACAACCTTATATATTTGTAGATATCATTATCAAGATTAAACGTGGTAATTTCAAATAAATTAAGCATTAGGTAGAAGTTTGTTTAGTTCGGTTACTTTCTAAAGAAGTAGCTCACATTATGTGATGAAACGTAGAAAAATTGAATTTCTACACATCAGGATATCACCAATACACCATTAGTTTTTTAATAGTTGATTTTTGTTAGCTTCGTACGTTTCAAATGTGATAAGTCTTCCAACTGAATGCTTGATTCAGTTTCCTAGGCTCTTCTAGTAAACCCCAGGTTAAATCTATTGGGCAACTCGAACACGCGAGAAAAATGTGACTTTTCACTTTCTAGATGTTCCTAGGGTATTTCTATTCAACGCTGATTAAATAAAATGTTTCCCGGAGTTTTCAGAGCTTTTTTGAGGAATGTTCTGGATCTCCTCAACACCCCCCTTTCAAAAAATAAGGCCTATTCTTCGGGTCTACTTGCAGCTTGATGACTGGTTCCTGATGGCGTCCTGACTTCTTTGGTGTCCAGCGATTATGAATGTCTGTTGGGTTTCCTGTCATTGGGGTATCTGTAATTATTTCCAGTGGAAGACTGACTCATCTGTCTACCGTGTTCACCGTCCTTTTTCTCTGTAAATTTGGCTGATTTGTCTAATCCACGAAACATTTTCCATTCCATTTTCAATAACTCTAGGTTCCTATAGATTTTTTCTGAGGCATGACTTGATGTTCACTTTATCATCCACGTTAAAACCTCGGATAGTCTGATTTTGTGTGCATCCACTGATTTGAATGATAACATGGCGTCGAATACTTCTTCCGAACATAGCTTCAGTAGGGGAATTTCCATCTAAGACAATAGGGTTGGGCTTAGTTCTATAAGTTAAGGATTTTGTAATCATCAGACTTGTTCTCTCGTTTCCACCTTTCTTCAATACTCTTTTAAATGTGTCAACCGCAATCACTTCAACATGTCATGAAGTTCTGGGCCACAAGAAGCACCATCACAAGGAGTGGATCACTGTCGATACACTGGATAAGATTCAAGAAAGGAGGCAGCAATCAATACCAGTCGAACAAGAGCAGGAAAAGCCAAGGCACAAGCTGAATACACAGAAGTAAACAAGCAAGTGAAGAGGAGCTCGACCGCATTTGATCTGTTCATTATATTCGAATCCTCACATGGCATATATCACTATTATGTTCCACTTTTAATGTGCAAAAACAGTTCCTGAAAGACGTGAATAAAGTGAGCTCCCTTTCGTTTGTAATTTAGGAATCAAGTATAGCCATTTCGTACGTATTGATATTAACAAGCAGAATTCCTAAGGATCAATCATGTACTGACTAAATCGAAGAAATGCCGACCATTATTGAGAAATAAGACTAGTGACTATACATTAGATTTCCTGACCACTAGAAGGCACTTGAGTGTTTGGATACGTGAACCATATGGAAGCCCATTGAGCATCATAGGTTAAGATCAGTTTGAGGAAACTCTGATTACTCTTTTGTTGCCAGCTTGATCTGGTGATGTTGATCAGCCAGGTACGTGAATGTTTTCACCTGTTTCAGGATGTCTCCACCAAGTGTGGTTGAATTGATGTTCTCTATGTTGTGTTTGAGGATATTGCTTTTTCCCTTGTGTTTGTTGAGGCCTACTGATGCAGAGAATAATGCTACACTGACTGTCTCAATCTGCATTTGTTGATGTGTATGAGATAGAAGAGCTAGGTCATCTGCAAAGTCCAAATAGTATAGTATATATGAGTCTGTCAGCTGTCATGCATACACGACTTTGCAGTGTAGTCCGTTCTATGAATTTCGTATGATGTTGACGATCTTCTCAGGTACACAAAAGTATCGAAGAAGGTTGCATCAGGTTCTCCTATCCACACTGACACGCACGTTCTCATGATCAACGAAATTGATGTGTAGTGACAAATTCCATTCGACTGATCGCTCAACAATTATCCGTAGTGTCGCGATCTCGTCTGCATACGACTGATCCTCAAAAAATTCAGTCTGATGATCACGAAGCCGAACGTCTACTGAATCTTTCAGCCGGTTCAGAAAAATTCAGTTGAGAAATTTTCTTGGCGACGAAAGTAGTGTGATGCCTCTGTAGTTGATTTCTCACAGTTACTCAGATCTCCCTTCTTTGGTATCTTATTAAGGTGTCCTTGTTCTTCTTCCCTAGTATTCCTAAATAGAACACGGAGTATCTTTACAATTACTCCTATGTTTGATGTCAGTGCTTGGGTTGGTATGTTGTCAGGTAATTCTGATTTCTCACTCTTGATTTGTCTGATTGCCATGCTGATCTCTTGGTTTCTTGGTAGAGTAGCATCTATAGGATTCGGCTGAGTTGTTTCATTTAATAACTCTTCAAAGTGCGCTGACCACCTTTATCGCAATTCTCGAAACACAGTTATTGGCTTGTCTTCTCCACTTTGATTGATCGCTTGGTTTACTATATTTCTTTGCTAACCTCTTCTTTGTATCATATGGTTGCTGTTTGATTTTTTCATCAGCAGTCTTTTCTGTTTTTATTGTTAGTTCTTCCACGTATTTCTGCTAGTCATCCCTAATGCTCTTTCTTACATGCTTGTTTGCTTCTGTGTATTTGGCCTATGTCTTGACTTTCTCTCCTCGTGTTCAGTTGTTGTTGATTCCTGTCTCTTTGTTTTTCCTTTCCTGTATTCCGTTCAGGGTATCGGTAGAGAATCATTATTTCTCATGGTGCTTCCTTGACCCAGAATCTCCTGACACATAGAAGTTGGTGCTCCTTTGATATCTTCTGAATTGTCCTCCATAGTAGTTTCCTATTCTTTGAGTAGATCTTGTAACTCTTGAAACATATTTCTGAGAATTATATTGAACTCGTTGATTTTGAGTTGGACGGGAATGGTGTGACGAACCAGCTAACTTTGAAGTCACACCTCGCGGTCAGAATCTAACGTGGATTACCCCCTCGACCTGTCAAAATACTATGGCTGCTTTGAAAACCGTATAATGCAAAGGACGTTATTATGCAAATATATTAGTGAGAATTATTACAGAGAAGATAGCGAGACCACTTCATGGGTCAATCCATGGCATAAGATTAACGGATGCGTGTTGGTTGTCCTTGACCCTGACAGGAATCGGTCATCTGTTGATATTCAGTGAACCAACTGCCAGATGATGTGGCTAGAGCTCAGTGACATTTCGCCGACCCTACACCTTTTTCTCAACGTTTACAACTGTTAATATGAGAGGAAACACGTGGTCTTCCATGGTCATAAAATAACTTGTCTTTCGACTTAAATCATCAACGATTCTCCTTCACACATACCCAAAAACTTATTATCAACATTTTAACACGGTCGTAAAAATAATATTCCCACTATCGATATATACTACTTGCTATCTGAATAGTAGTTACACTACGTTGATTGATTAATAAGAAATTATATATCATCTATTGCATGATTAATGTGAAAAAATGACATGTATCAATGATGTTCATCCATTTACTGTTGATATAAAATTGATCAATATTATCATCCCGATTAATCTGGTAGGTCATCGTGCTATAAACGATTGATAAAATATACTTAAGGAAAATATACTTT